ACGTAGCATTTGCAATTGAAAGTGAATTTGTTTATTTACCACTTGGAGTTTTCATCAACAATTTACAATAATTTAAGTATTTTTTTTTTATTATTTTTATCACATTAATGAATGCACAACCAGGTTGTTCTTCTAGCAATCGTAAATAGCGATTGGTTTTAGGCGTTTTAGGTTGATTTTAAGAGGTTTCCCGCTCATCTTTCTTGATAGAAGCAGAAACTAGCGCAAAAATGAAACGCTCCCAAATGATACGGATCGATATAAAGCAATACGTATCGTAGAACGAAAGCGAATTGGTATCGGTTGGGATTGTTATGTCTCACTGAACGCAGCAAAAGTTATGATTGTCACAGGCGCAGAAGAGAAAAAACTCTCTTTTGTGTCACAGGACTATTAAAAAAAAATAGATGAACTAAGAAGTAATAAAATAGAGCACGAAGTACAGCCATAATGAGAGTAAAATTAGTATTAATTCAATTAGTTAATACTAAAAAAATTATAGAAATCATACTAACGTTGAAAGATGCTAATTTTACAAAAAAGATTCACAAAAAAACACTTTATAAAAATGGTTATAATTGTGTTGTCTGTAAAAATATTTGAGTTTGAAACCTACATATTTATTATAAGAATACTATAAATTTGCTTTAATTTCATCAAGGCAATTAAGAATTTTCTTCGGCCAATTCTAATTGCAGTGTAAAAGTAATCGTTTTTTGTATATATTATTTTATATTCATCGTGGTATCTTATATTAATGAAATCAAGCATTTTCAAAGCCTCATCATCTTCCATTATTTCCATTTTGTGTATTGCAATTTTACAAATTTTAATAAATCAATGACACAATGACAGTCAACATCACTCAAAATTATAAAAATTAAACATTTTAAGGTTAAGTAATGGTTTAAGCTGAAAAATTTCTGGGCTTAGTAAAGTGATTCTTAACGCCTTGATAAGTGGAACTTTAATAACGGTGCAAACGGTTATGCCTTCTTAAGTGTCACTTAGATGCTAAGTAAAAGCGGTGCGAATGGCCCTAAAACGTTCAAATTTGTTGGATATTCTAAAAGACCAATTATGAGTTCTTGATTATTAATAGTTCGTTCTAACTCACTTATTAAACGTTTTAAAGCATCTAGTTCCACTTTAGCTACAAGGTTATCGACATCATTATCACCAATATCGTTAGATGCATCAAAAAAACTCCGTCTTTTTGCTAATTTTCACATGCTTCATGACTTTATCACTCACTTTTATATCGTCAGGCACTTTATTTTCAAGTACTATCCGGATTAAGTTACATTTGTTCAGCTTATTTAATTCTTTTTTAGCTTCCTCCAAGAACGCCATGTTGTAAATGACAGTTCCTATCTCCCCGCTCCATATGAATGAATGAATGAATGAAATATTTATTTAAAAAACCAAAAGAATACAAAATTCCATAGAGGTTTTGCCTCTTCACAAATATTATGCTATAGAAAAATGTATACATATACGTCTCAAAACAGAGACACGTCAAAATATAATTTAAAATAAAAAATTACTTAACAAATATACAATAAAAAATAAAATAACATAAAATAAAAATATTTTAGTCAAGTGAAAACATATTTTTTTTACTACTAACATGAGAAATCACCATTATTTACTCCATTCCTCTAATGAGAAGTAATATTTCTCTCCCTAGGTAAATAATGATAATAAAAAAAAACCTAGGTAAATAATGAAACTAAATTTCATTAGTTTCATTTTGTTAATTTGACAACTAAACTCCCAGACTACTTGATATTTTGAAATATTTGAAAAATAAGTAGGAAATAACTAAAGCTGGGTTTATCAAATCTAATCAAATCAAATATGATAATATATATCAGTGTAAACAGTAAAAATATATATTAACTAGGAAATTCAACACCGGCTTTAAAAATTATTAATTAATAACAATAAATCCATGTCATTAAAATATCAAAAATGCAATGGGATATTTCCTAGAATCATACCAAAATTTGACACATGCCAAATTTTTACATAAATAAAGCCAGTCTGATTAGAAACACGCTCCAGTCTGCTTGATATTTCGAAATATTTAACAAATTGTTAGGAAATTACTTATGTCAAAATTAAAATTGCTAATACATTAATGTTAGTAGTAAAAAAAATTCTATATATACCTCGGCTGAGAAAGCTATTATTTACCTCGCACATTATAAAAGTGCTCGGTAAATAATAGCTCACTTCTCACCCTAGGTATATAATGTACTATTATACAATCATAATAATAATAATAATAATAATAATAATAATAATAATAATAATAATAATAATATTAATAATATTAATAATATTAATAATATTAATAATAATAATAATAATTGGGTAAATATAGAGGTGATCTTATAGTAAAATATATTGTTTAAAATTTTTTTTTAAAGGTTAATACAGGATTGGTTTTTAATTCGTTTGGAAGATTATTAAAAAGTGTCACTCCTTTGTAACAAATCGAATTCTTTAAAGTATTTGATCTTATTGTAGGGAGTTGTATGTCATTATTGTTACGTGTATTATATGTATGAATGTCTTTTTTATAGTTAAGTACAATATGAGAATGTTTCTTTTGATGTATAACACTGTGAATATAAGTACATACTTGAAATGTATATAATTGTTCCAGATTAAATATGTCAAAGTCTTTATATAATTTTTGACTACTATATAGTTTAGGAAGTGAATAAATATTTTTTATAGCTTTATTTTGAAGAACTTTAAAGGGTCTGACATACTTTTCACAAGTTGCAAACCAAATAAGGTTTAGATATTGTAAGTGACAATGAATGAGTGAGAAATATATAGAACGTAGCAAATACTTTGGAACATTATTATTCAGTCTCCTTAATATTCCTACGGGTGCCGCAAGTTTGTTTTTTATTTTGTTTATGTGTGTTTGCCAACAAAGCGTTTGATCAATATACAAACCAAGGTACTTTATTTCTTCGGAAGATTTTAAAAAGTCTTTGCCAAAGTACAGTGGATGATTATAATCATTTTTTTGTTTAGAGATTATAATATATGAAGATTTAACTACATTTAATGTTAATTTGTGAGCAATCATCCACTGAGATAACAAAGACACAAATCATCCCTTATCTCCGCAATCATCTCTTCCAACGATTCACCAAAATAAAGCGCGGTACTATCATCTGCATATAACCTTAACTCTCCTTTAAATTTAACATTAGACAGTGAGTTAATATAGATGAGAAACAAAGTTGGGCCCAAAATTGAACCTTGAGGTACCCCACATGAGATGTGTTGTTCAGAACTTTTCATCCCATCCATAGAAACACACTATCTACGGTCATTTAAGTAATTTCTAAACCACTCCAAACAATTATCTTTGATTCCTATTCTCTTAAGCTTTTCTAAGAGATTATTATGGTTTACTGTATCAAATGCCTTGCATAGGTCAAGTGACACAATGACACATTTTTAATTTTTATCTATATTCTCTTGAATGTTAGTTATCATATCTACTGCAGCTGAGGAAGTGTCACTTGACTTACGGAAGCCATATTGATATTTATAAAGATAGTTTACATTAGTTAAGAAATCACTGAGTTGAGAATTCACAATCTTTTCAAAAATTTTAGATAGTATAGATAAAACAGATATAGGTCTATAATTGTTAAGCAAACCTTTGTCACCTCCTTTAAATAGGGGTGTTACCCTTGCCACTTTAACCGCACTTGGAACCACTCCACTGTTTAGGGACATGTTAATGATTTTGTGCAATTTCACTTTTACACTCTTTTACGGTTTTCACGAGGGGCAAATCACTCTTTGTAAAAATGTACATGTATTGCCGAATTCATATGATTTCCGCAATCATATGGCGATTTCTGGATGACTGCAGCGATTTCTAGATGACTGCGGCGATTTCTGGATGACTGCGGTGATTTCCACATGACTTCCGACAGATTTCCCGTGACTGCGGTGATTTATGTATTGACTGCAACGATTTCTCTATTGATTGCGGCAATTTCCCTATTGATTGCGGCGATTTACTCGTACGTATAGATTGTCAGTATTATTGCAAAATTGCACGCATTCCGAAGGATTTCTACGATATTGTATGGCTTACCAGTTGGTTTCTAGTAAAAAAAGCATTAGCTAGGTGTTTCATCAGAAAAACTAAATTTTGTATAGCGCATGTATAGGTGCTAAATACAATGCATTGATTTAAAACTAAGTGTGTACGACAAATTTATCAATAAATCAACTTTTTGTACGTTTTTTATTCATTTAAAAGATCAGTTTTAATTGATGTGATACCCGAAATATAAACTTCTATGTAGGTACTTACATGCCTCCATTATTAGATATCTTTGATATGCCTAAATGAACAAATAGGTAGAGGTAAATAAAACAAGTTAAGTAATTAAGTAATTGGAGGTTTTTTATTTAAAAATTTCATAAAAGTGTTTTTTTAGACGTTTACAAATTTTATTGATGTTTGTTTCTAGTTTAAATGGACCAGATCCAATTGAATTGATGGGTCCGTAAAATATTAATTTATTTTTAACAATTTGAATGTCGTCTTTTTTTGGCCATAAATATTCTTCAAGTTCAGATTTAAAAATTTTTATTTTACTAGTGGTTTCATCAATTATTTGAACAATTCGACCTATGTACCAGGACTCGTAAAGAATTGCGTAATATTGTTCGTTCCTAATTAAAATACCATTGATATTTTTCTGGAGCAAAGTGTTTTCACCGGTAGTTTTTTCACTTTCTGTTACATCTTTGTCATTGTAGTTATTTGGTATTTTAGCTGTTTTTTCTGGACTTGTTTTTTTTTTTGTTATTTAGTACTGCTGAGGATGTTCCTTTTACACGAGATAATCTGTCAGTTGAGAAGAGCCCGTCTTCAGTGGAAAATAACCAACAAAGAGCTGATTTTTTTACCTTGATTTTTTTGTTGTTCACAATTATGTTTAAAAATGAGGTATCAGAATCACTTTTTGTCTAGTAATTTCGAAAATCCTTTATATTAAGATCTTCCAATCCATAAAAAATGCTCTTTTCATTATCTACATCATATATGGAAACTTAAGTTTAAAATTTAATGTTTTTTATTTTATCCGTTTTTGATTTTTCTTTAAAATTCCAATTTAACACATTTTCTTAAATATCTCGAATACGGTCCATTTTAGAGAAATTATGTATAAAACAAAAATTATAGAGAATTATATTACAAACAACTTTTATTTGAACAATTTTTATAAAAAAATATTTTTTTTTTACATTTTGTCAAATTTCTCGAATACGGACCAAATTTTGTATAGAACAAATTATAGATAATAATATTGTAAGTAACTTTTATTTGAAAAAATTTCTTCTCCAAACGTAAATAACAGATATATTCCATAAAATATAAAAATGATGACTATAAAGTACCCTCCAAATGTTCCGACTCTGCCCAAAATCTAATCAGCTAATTGGACGCCGGAATAAAGCTTAAGTTTAAAATTTGGTGTTTCTATTTGTATCCGTACACACACAGACAAAATCGCGAAAATAGTCAAAACAGATTCAGGATACCCCAAAATTCGAGGTCGAAAAAAACCATGATTCCTATACTTTCCTTATCTGTAAACAGATAGGAAAGTAAAAATACATTTAAAACCCTAATTAAAACGTGTATCACCACAACCCCCATAAAATACCAACAATTTTGTTATACTTACATTAAAAAAAAAACTAGATGAAAAGGGACAATTTTCGACCACCTTGTAAAATCTTGTATACAAGTAGATTTAGTGTCTAAATTTATCCTGAAAAAAAACCTTCAAATTCCAAAATGTAAATTTAACTTAATAATTCTTGCCTCAAAATGCACGGAGGGACCCTTTCGATAAATGTAAACTGCAATTTCTTTACACAAAATGGTTTTTTTAATCAAAGCACCCTACATCAACAATGGCTAATTGGTTAATGTCACCTAACTGCGCGCGATTTTTAACGATCGCTAGTGATTGATCAGTGACTGCTAGAGAATTCGGGGGACTGCAAGGGAATTCGGAACGACTGCGAGCGAATTCGGAACGACTGCGGCGATTTCTTAGCGATTGTCACTGATTTTGATGAGACTGCGGCGATTTTCAATGGGATTGCGGACATTTTGTACACGTATTGCGGGAGTGATTTGCCCCTCGGGTTTTCACATCCACATCATGAACACCTGTAGCTTTGTTGGAGTTCATCTCACTAATGATGTTATTGACTTCAGATAGAGTAGTAGGAACAAATGAAAATGTTTCGGGTATTGTAGTTTCATTTGCAGCATCTATAGAAGAAAATGGAATATTTTTTGCCAAGTTCGTTCTAACATTGACAAAAAAGTTATTAAAATGTTCCCCAATTTGACTTTTATCTTTTATGTCTATATTATTCACCTTGATTGAGGAGATTTGGTCTTTAGCTCTAGATTTATTGGTTAATATTTAATTTATTATCTTCCATGTTTTTTTACCATTACCGTTTGCTTGATTGAATTGATTTTCATAGTAAGAGTTTTTTGCTTTTTTATTTTTATCTTTACCTCTTTTATACACTCCCGGTGTTTAACTTTAAAATATTCAACAGTTGGGCACTTTTTCATTTTTCTAAAATAGTAGTCTCTTGTAGTTATCGCATGCGATACAGTGTCATCAAACCAAGGTTGTGAGTTTTCTCTGATTCTTATGGTTTTAGTCGTGTAGGTAGTTGAATAATTAAAACAGTTTATGAAAGTATTATATGCTTCATCAATATCTAGGGGTAGATTGTGTTCAAGCTCACGAAGCGCCGTTTTGACTTTGCCATAATTTACATAACGTTTGTGAAATGTACGTAGTATTTTACTGTTTGACTCATTTGCAATGGTTAAAATTTGAAAATCATTGTCAACGAGGCAGTTGGTTATAATTCCCAAAGATTCAACAACTCCCGGAGTATTTGTTAGCACATGATCTATTAGAGTTTTTGAATTTCGTGTAGGAATACTTTTATTGCAAAAGTCAACACCATTGTGAGAACATACACTTTTATATAATTCAGTATTCTGACTGTTTACCAATAAATCAATGTTTAGATCTCCTATTACTATTGCTTTGGTGTTGCCCAAAGCATTGATATCATCTTCCAGTAAATCAAGTGTAACCTCAATATCTTCATTTGAACTACTTGGGTTATATATGGCAGCAAGATGTATTTAGCTGATTCTATATATACTCTAGCATAGGTGACATTGCCTTTTTCTATTATTTTTTCAACATTATGGTTTAGGCCATTTTTAATGTATATACCACAGCCACCCCCTCTTTTTATTCTAGAAGAATATACACTGGTATAAGAGGGTATATTGAAAAACTTCTCTTCATCTTTTTTTACCCAGGTTTCTGTCGCTACAATAATATCTATATTTGTATTAATGGTTTTAAGTGTAACTTCTAGTTCATCGATTTTGTTTTTTATGGACTGAGCATTTAAATATAATATAGTTAAATTACCCAATTTCTGAAATTTGTTATTAAATTCTTTAATACTGCTATATTTATTAACCATAGTACCTACATCAACTGTAGAAGCCATTAAAAAAAAAATCTTAGTTATTACCTTATTTATTGTTGTTTCATATGTCCTTACATAGCTGTCAGTTCACTTATCTTATTTTCACTTGTTATTCTTATGATAGGTCCATCATCAGTTTTTCTGCAGAATACTTTCCCATATTTTAGCCACACATATTTATAACCTTTGGTTTTTAGAACCTTAGATTTTCCTAATAAAACACGAAGCTCTTTTGGAACATCTTCATTGATATATATTTGTCGCCGTGGACCAGGTATATTGTAGTCAGTTGAAGTTTCCAATTCTTTGCGTTTTTCCAACACCGCCTTTTGCATTTCTTCTGTTTTAAAAGCAACGAGAATGGGTTTCGTGGGATTTAGTATTTAACATAACAATGTTTTTACTTCTTACTTGTAAATTTTCCTTGGCTTTATCAATTTTGATAGCGGCTAATTCTTTTCTCAGATCAGCCGTTTATTACAGGTAGCCTGATTAAAGGGGTTCAAATGATCGAACTCCCCTAATCAGGTTGATTAGTAATCTCTCAGGGTCAGGTTCCTGTGAATAGAGAGAAGAAAATGACTGATAGAATGTGAACGGGCCTTTATTATCTTCTAACGTCGTATTGTCAAAATTGAAATGTTAACCAACAAATTACATGTATCCGAAATGTGGACTATTATTAGGAACAAAAGAAAATTATTATGTACAAGGCGTTCCCACAACTATTCTTACCTTTAACTTACATACACTTATAATATATAACCCTCCAAGTGGGTGGTAAAAGTGCGGTTACGTAGAGTACTCTTCGTATTACAAAAGACAACTAAACCGGTAGGTGGATATTACAATTTAAATATGTACATATACAAAAGAAATTGAGTATTTACTCAGGTATTTAACTCTGCTTGTTGTAGGCTGTCTCAAACAACCTAACCTCGTGAGTAGATGGGGGCCCTCCGAAATATAGGGTTAGAAGAAGGAACTGTCTTACTTGTGGTGATTAAGTGAACTCAACTAAGCACGATGTCCAGTTAGGCAGCTTCCTCTTGATATCGGTAGGTAGTAGACGGCTATGAAAACGACTTCGTATTCGGTGGAGTTATCTAATTGTCCGAACTCTATTGCTAGCACGCAAACGGTGCAGTGAAGAAGCCCTATTATATATGGAGAGGTGGAGAGAACTTGCCCACAGTCCTTAGAAGTATTCCTCTAATAAAATCGTTACTCAGAATTGTAAATCGGAGCGAGCGAAGGAGGGAACGCACTAATGGAAGGAGCGAACCAAGGAGGTCTGAAAAACATGGACGATTGTAATTATTATGTATACAGAAGGCTGTTGGGAATATAGGTAAGTGAAATAATAATTCATTTTGAAAAACTTACCCTTGATGGTATGTGACCTTTTAGATTATTAATAATTAAATTCACACTTTTAGCCGATACAATATCCACCACTAGGTGTATGAATCACAAAGATCACTAATAGTATATCGGACTAAAGGAATCTCTGGTTTTTGCACAAGAATGAATCCTAGAAAATCCTAGTTGAAATCTTGGCACATGCCACAATCAGAATCCAAGCAAAAACTGGGCCAGGAAGGAAGTTCCACAAAATGGCCAACAAAAGTCAATGTCTTAGCAAGAAGGCCCTGACTACAAAAGGGTAATAGGATAATTTCTGGTAAGACTGTGGTCATTATTTATAAATTTAGAAGTATCTGACATCTGAAGGAGTTAAAATTGACATGTAAACAATAACAATAAAAATAAAGCTTTTTAGTAATTAAATGAGCTAGAGTTATTGTTCAAAGTAGCGAAATATATTTACTTACATTATAAATTATTTATTAAGGTATTAATTATTATTGAATACACTCCAGGTGAGATTATACTCTATTACAAAACATTATTTTATATTTTACTACAAAATATGTTTGATAATAGTATATTATGCAACGATCATGTAATGATGGTTATTAATACACGAGCATTAACCGGGATACGAAACGAGCCAAAGGCGAGTTTCGTATGGTTTATGCGAGTGTTTTAATAACCATTACATGAGAGTTGCATACGCTATTTTTTCTACACCCGATAAATAATCAAGACCTATAAATATTCTATTTATATTGGTATTGAACACAATAACAGTAATTACTCGTATTTCTATAAAAAATTCTACAAAATTGTAATTAATGGTATTACCTTGGGTACTGGTATCACCACAGATTTTTGGGGCAAAATATTTTGTACTGCATTTTCTCCTTTCTCCTATATGTGTGGAGGAGTGTTCTATATCGCTGATATCAGACATTTTAATATTATAATTATCGAAGTTTAGCTATCTACGAAAATTTAATACGTTTTGACAACTAAAACAATTACATAGGAATTTAGGACAAACGTCAAACATCATGCTTGATTGAAAAATTGTAGGTTTCTATTGATTAAAAATCTGTATCATAATGAAAAATCTGTATCATAATGGGTATCATTATGAAACAGATTATGGGCATATAAGTGCATTATTATAATACGGGTGTAGAAAAAAATGGATATTTTATGAATTTATTTAATGGACCCATTTTATTGATTTGTATACATTTATATACCGCACACTCTTAAATCGAAAGGTAACTAAAGAGATTAGCATAGGTTATAGTAGAATAGATAAGTAATAGATTAGTTTAGTAATTAGAGTAGCTTAAGTTAGAATTAAATAGAAGTAGAATAGTGTACATAGTTAAGCGTAGGATAGATTAGAAGTAGAATAGTGTAAATAGTTAAGCGTAGGATAGATTAGAAGTAGAATAGTGTAAATAGTTAAGTGTAGACTAGGAATAGGTATGATAGCTTAGACTAATTTAGGATAGGGTAGGATAGACATTAGAATAAGTTAGAATAATTTAGATTAGGTTAGAATAGAAAAACCTAGTTTAGCGTAGTGTAAGTTTAGAATAATTTACAATAGGGTAGGCTAGGAAATAGGATAGGTTAGAATAGTTTAGAATAGTGTAAACTAGGGTAATTTTAGACTGGAATAGATTTAGGGAGAATAAAACCCGTAACACGTTTCTTTTCTCAGTTTAATGTTGTCTTGTTTTAACTTTTTAGTTTCATTTTTTATTTCATTAAAATTGTCCCTTAGTTTTTCAATCATATCCCCACTAAAGTTCAGAGATTTCCCAATACCTTCAAATTTTTTATTCATCAAAACAAGTAAGTCCTTATTAGTAGGATTTTCCTCCATTAAAATAGATTTTAGACTGCCACTTCGTCTTAATTTCTTTCCTTGTAATAGTTTGTCTTTATCTTCTTCAACAGAGTCATAATCGCTACTGTCGGTGTGTCGTCCTTACCGAAACAATTCTCACATAACCACTTTCCTTTACCTTTACCCTCAGAAAAATGTTTATAATCACCTTCAGATAAATTTGTACATATCTTATGAAACCATTGTTTGCATTTTCCCGCACATAACATGCCGTAATGTTTTTTTGTTATGTTATTTTGGCATGATTTGCAAATTATTTGCTTTATTTTAGGACCCATTATTTTAATTCTGTAATCTACACCACTGCTAAATATTTTCAATTAAACAGGTATTCTTTTAAGCTAACAAAAAATCACTCACTTATCGGCAGTTCACATTTATTTTGCTTATGAAATAATAAATTTCAAATTTTTACGTTTGTCTTGATGAAACACTTTGATATAATTATAATATGTTGATATAAGTTTTGAAATATTTTATTCACTTTTTCACCACCAATTTGCAGATTTTTAGGAGCACATAGAAACGCGTGTTTACTAGTTTTTTTCAAAAAAAAAAAAAAAAAAAAAAAAAAAAAATAGAGTATATTTATTATCAAAAAAAAAGTGTTAATTTGCATTTTTATTTTCTGTTATTGTGGAGTTTTTTTTACTTTTCTTTATTCACAAAAGACTCAAATGATTTAGACTAAACTAAATTGATTAACTCCGGACTTTTTCAACTTAATTTTAACATTAATTCAATATTTGCTTAGCTTTCAAATTGGACGCTCAAGAAACAAGTCATGTTTCGCGCAAATTGCAGCCTGAAAGTATATAATTAAAATACTATAGAGTCCTCCGTTCTGCATTCTGAGAGAGAACTCGTTTCTAAAACAACTGGGACAACATCAGAAAAAAGCTGCAGAAGGAAAGTGGATGCAAAGGGTCCTTTATGGAATACGTAATACCGCCGAACAAGAGATGAAGTTTTTGTTATTTGATAGCGGCGAACTAACTTCAATTTACTTACGTGAATCGCAACTAATGAACATGTGTGTGCTTATTGATTAGATTATTTTAATATCGAAACTTTTTATACCAGTCATGCATATTGATTCAGGTATTTTGTTGTTTTCAAATGAGGACATTAAACTTGTGACAATATAATTATTATAATCAGTACAAAGCCTGTTGTATATTTTTCACAAAATAAATATTTGTATTTCACTGTACAGGGTGGGAAAATTGCGATGTTTTAATAAAGAATCTCGTTAACTATTGTCACAATTATTCCTTAAATTGAATTAAATTATTTTCATTCGGCTCAGTAAATAATTTAACATCCTGTATGTTAAATTATTTCTGAATAGTAGGTCGATTTCGAAATACTTTTAAATCATAGAGAATGCATTTCATAATTACAAAACAATTAAGTTAAAAACCAATGACCTTTGCGCTGACTCGAGGATTTTGAAAGTATTGCGAAATCGAACCTAGGCCTTTATTCTTGAATCGAGAGAAAATTTTACTCTCCGGGGAGCTCCCTGATATCTCTACTCCTTCAAAATTTCTCTCGATTTTAAAATGCTGAATTCTTGAAGCTGGGGAGTAGAAAAGAGTAAGAGAAAACGCATACAGGGTTGCCAGAATTCAGTGAAAAATTCTGAACAATCACAAATGCAGAAAATTGACAGCTTTTCAATATACCTATCCTAAGACCTAACGGTACAGTGTCCACAAATAATTAATCTATGAGAAAAAAGAGAAGAGTCTCAATAACCAAACATTTTATACAAATTTTTTCCGAAATTTTTAGCAAGTTGATGCAGAGCTGTGCGGTATTCAAGTACAAGTACTCGATAGCTGTACTCTAAGTACATTTAGTGTAAATAGATTTATTTATTATATTGGCTTCGCTATAGCCTTAAATATTTTAAAGTTTTCGAGAGATAATTGTGTGTCATGGTTTCATTGTATCACGCTCACATTTTTTTTAAATTACAGTATATAAATATTGGTGGAGGAACAACGTGGCAATCAGTTGGATAAAAGTATTTGTAAAGATAAATAGTAAACAGTTTAAAGACATTCGAAATATATATAAAGTAGAATAGTATTGTTTAAAATAAATAAGTGTTTATATAAATTATTCATAAACTGTGGTTTAAAATAAACAAACGTCACAATATACATTTTTTTTTAGGATTTTATATTGCATATGATTTATTGAAATAAATGTTTATCATATTAGGACTAATAAATTTCTGTATTAAATACATGGTTTTAATTGATTTATTGCCAGGCCTTTCATGATTGAACTCTCATATTAATAACCTATTTGATAGGTAATTACCAATAATTAATATTACTAATAATGTATTGCAACATAATATCAATATAGGTAGTTGAATGGATATTGAAATTTTCAAATAATAACGCTCGTGCTTCTAAATTTTATGGATAAAGTTTTTATATTTAATGCGTTTTTGTAGGGAAAAATAAAATTTGTTTTAATAAATTTTTTTAGACATCCTACACTAGATAAAATAACACTAAACCCAAAAGTTACGCAGTTGATGGGCCACTTCCATAAGAAGCCATATTAACTTATTTCATGACGTCACGAAATACTTCTGTCACTGTCAGTTGTCAAAACATCGATTATACAGAGTTGTTTATGGTGTTTTTTCATAGTGCTTTTGCTGTTGTTTTAAGTAAAACCATGGTGGAGTAAAACTACATTTTTTGTAGCTATTTTGTTGTTATTTGAACTGGTTGAATTTTGCATTTAGTTATTTTGTGTTTGAGTACATAATTTGTTTTGGATAACTCTTTTTGGAGGAAGGTAAGAAAGTTGTCCATGATTATAAATATTAAAAATTCTTAACATAAATTTTATTTTAGGCTATTTCACCTACCTAATATACCAGGTGCATATTGTGTGGTTTCTGGCTGTAATGCAGAGTACTCTGCTTATAAGAAGGCAGGAATTGGTGTGTCATTTCATAAATTTCTCAGGCCAATATATTTTGTTTCCCAGGCATTTTTAAGTAAATGGATTAGACGATGCGGAACTAGAAATATTGATCCTTTAAAAAATCATATTTGCTATAATCACTTTTCGCCCACCGATTATAAAAGAGATTTGCAAAATAAATATTTAGGTATGTACCTACATTCTTTAAACAATTTTCTTAACTATAAAAATGTTATTTATGTTTGTAGGATTGCCACTTAAGAAGAAGTTAAAAAAGACATCAGTTCTCAATAAAAATCTTCAACATGTGGTTTTGGCTGTAATAGAAGTGAATGACAAAAACCAACTGGTATCTCCAGAAGTACCTTTTGGAAATGGTTCAGAAAATGCTGACTACAAAATAAAATATTCAGAACTGCTTTCATAATTTAATAAAATAAATCAAAGGATCCTTTCTTATGAAAATAAATGCAGAATTTAGAAAGCTACTCTTCAAAATAAAGTTGAAAGGTTACAAAACCAAGTCAAATATTTTAGAAACCTATGTAGTCACTTTCTGGGCTACAGATATAAGATTAGTGTCATTTTTTTTTAATTTAATGAATTAAAAAAATTAAAAAAGTGATACAAAATGTTATTTTTTATTGTAAAGGCATGTATTTTATTAAAATATTTTTTTTATACCTAGCCTTAATTATCTGGAAAAGTAGTTTTTTGTAATGATTTAAAATCGTATTTCATGACGTCATTTAACAGTCTGACATATCTATTTAAGTGGCTCATCCTTCTCTTCAGTTTATCATCCTTGGGTAAAGGTACGTTTACATCTGACATTTATTTCATGAGATTTATATCTAACAGTTGTTTACTCCAGTGTAAACACTCAAACATATATCTCCGAGAGAAATTTTTATGTTAACACTGGACTATGGAGGGTAGAAAAAAGAAGGACAATCTTATATGGATCTTTATATTAAAAAGTGGCCACCAAAATGTATACAATTAAGATGGCGCTCGTGTAGCCAGGGGACAAAATCCAATGCTATATAGTCATATAGATTGCTCATTCATAATGAAATCAGACAGGAAGCAGTAAATTGAGACCTCCGTGCCATTTTAATACAAGAATTATTTATTGTTTATATTATTATTTTTCAATAAAATTTGACTATTGTCGTGTATTGTCAAAATTTATCTACGATCACAGAACACTTACTCTTCTACGATTAGTCACTTTTCACGGTGTAGTTTTTAGTTTTTTATGGTTGAGCAATATTTATTACTATATACATCATTGGTGTCATTGTGTGATCTAAATTATCAACTGTCGACGTCCCCTGGGCACAGAAGCGCCATCTTAATTGTATACATTTTGAGGGACACTTTTTGTATACAGAGATTGTTCTCCTTTCCTCTACCCTTCATACACTGGACTATGGAGGGTAGAGGAAAGGAGAACAATCTCTGTATACAAAAAGTGTCCCTCAATATGTATACAATTAAGATGGCGCTTCTGTGCCCAGGGGACGTCGACCTACGAGCAATTACTAATAGAGGGAGCGTGAAAACGAGTTTGTAGGCGATTGTTGTGTTAGCCTCCGAGCAATTACTAGATACTAGAGGGAGTCTTCCCCCCTTCCCCGCGCTAAATTTTGTTAGCAACATCTACTCCCCCCGAGGGGGAAAATACCTCTTCTGTAATTGGCTTATTTAATCAGCGTTGCCAAGTTTGACAGCACGTGACAGCGCCAGTTCTGACACTTTCTGACACATGCCAATTTCGTTATTGTATTTTACGGAAAATATTATTATTTATAACGTTGTAAGGGTTGTAAATATATATTTAAGATTTATTATCTTTAATAATATGGTGAAACATGCTTTATGTGTAAAAGGCCTGTTGAAAATGCTTCTTCAAGATAATATCATAAGTAAGTACAGACACAATCTAATTATCAGAGGCGGTGCATTAGGCAATCACCTTTAATTTTCAATTAAACTTTCTTATTTTCTTATCAAAAAATTAAAATTAAGAGGAAGTAAACTCCAGCTAAGTTCGTCTTCATCCGTCTCATAATGATTATAGTAAAGGCTAATTACTTATTATTATTTTAATATCACATCTTTGTAAAGTTTATTGTTATTTTTTTAGGTTTCATTTTCTTGATATGAGAAAGAAACACATGGTTCCAAAATATAAGAATTCAACAAGTGACCACCTGAATAACGTTTTATGCTAATGAACATTTTTATTAAAGACCTCAGGGGAGGAAAATATTAAAGAAACCTTCAATTTCGACGAAAGAAGTATAATAATCAATCCTGTCACTACTTCTACACTATATTCATCTGCTACTAAAATACTAAAACAGCAAGTAAGTAGGGAAACTTAAGTTTCTTTCAAAAAGAATGTTTAAGGAAAAAGGCATAGCCATTTTTTTGTTGACATTTTTTTTTAACTAATCTGAAAGACTAATTTTGTGTATTGTTTAAATTTTTATTTTTTATACTTAATTTGTTTTAGGTTTAAACAAAATGAACTTCTAAGATATGCATGGACTATCCCAAAAGAGCTAAGGAAGGTTTTAAAATTCTTAAGAAAACTATTCAGAGCCAAAAACATAAAATATTCTTCCTGTCCAAAATATACATAGGTATAAATATTTAGATATTATGAGTGATTTTTTATTCTATAAATAGAACATAATTTGCTTCTAAATCACTACCTAATGAACTATATTATATAGTACAAAATTAAACAAGAATATCACATTATTCATGTTTTTTTTAATTTCCTTAAAAAACGTCCCAAAAAAATGTGAATATTTATTATTGGAGTTTACATCCTTATGCTAAAACAATACTAGAACAACTTAAATAATGTGGATTTTGACTATTTTGAGTTATGCAGATCAGTATGATCTAAAAAAATGTTTGTCTGGTGCTATAGTCAGGTATAAAAACATTCATTTATTTAAACACAGTTGCAATATACATTTTATTTGGTTTTTAAGTTAAAACCTATTAAGACATCCTAAAATGACTTTTTTCGTTTGATGTGATTAATTATTCTACATTTTTGTTGGTGAAATAGGATATATTAAGATGTTTTACTGTTTTCTCTGATTATCTAAAAAGTTAGAACAATATACAAAGACTGTTATAACAAAAAAAGAGATATACCTTTACTTAAACACACAATTAGTCAGTTCAATTGTACGATAATTTAAAGCAGAAATCCAGAAAACTTTAAAAATGTGTTTAACATAATTATTAAAAAAACTTGGCACATTAACATTGACGATAGGTTTTTATAATATATATTATACAAATCACAACGAACTACACAAAATGACATTATTAATAATTTAGCAATAAAAAAGTTAAGTACAATGATGATATTAAAAGTTGAGTTTCTCGAAATACTTTTTTAAATTGTCTCAGTACCTACATACCTAGTATTTTTCTATCACAATGATATTATATGAATATGCATTGTGTGATATCTTATATTTTGGGAATAAAATGATATATTTTTTTTGCAGGTTTCTGTTAACAACGATTCCAAAAACCTATAAAAATATTATTAAAACGGCCTTTGCAAATATAATTCTCAATTAAGAGCTTTTGATAGATCAAAAGCTCTTAATGTTAGAACATTAAATTTTTATTCTCCATATGGTTACAGCTTCCTAAGAAAAAAGTTTAACAAGACTTATCAGACCCAAAATATCAAAATTTTACCAACCAATTGATGGTTCTACTGGTTTCCATAGGAAAATTCTCCTCGAAACTACTAAAAGAAAAGTGGCAAAGGCAACCGAAGAAGGCAAAAAAGTCTTTTGCAAAACAAAAACTAGAAATTTGTTTAAGAATCTAATTATTGTTTAAAGTTTTACCATTAATAATTTTTGATAACGATTTAAGATTATGAAGTTCTATTATGTATTTAACTCTTTGATAACCTATGTTTAAATTTTTATTAGGACCAAAATAAATTATAATTTTCATTTCAACTACAAAAACCCTCATAATATTAAAAAGGGGAAAACTTAGATTATATTAAACAGTTATCTACTTAAAATGTGTTACTTTTAGAAGGTATGTTATTAACTTTCTATTTGTACTTGTATTAATTTATTTCATTTTATTATCTATTGTATTTTCAAATTGATTTTGATATTAAAGCATATTATTTTTTTTTTTTTTTTTTCATTGAAACAAACGTTTATTAGCTTATTAAATATAATGAATTCATGTTGTTTTATTATATGCTTGTATGAATGATTACTTTTATTTCCTTTTAAAAATGAATTTCGAAGATAAAGCCGAAACGGTGAGTGAGAATAAAAAATTAGACGAAAGTGACGATAATTACTGGAGCTTTCATCTACACGCTCCTTTTTCTAGCCATCTATACCTGAGCCAGCAAGACTCGTCTTCTCTTCAACCTTACATTCTCCAGATTTACAGAGAAAACGCCGTCCTCTTTAACATATCCAGACCTTCTTTGACGGGGACTATACCACTACATTATCAGCTTTATTTGTTATCTCGAGCAATTTAAATGCATTCGTAATTGCTCATTCTCACCTCTTCTCTTGTACGATTCCGTACTCAGTTTTCTTATTTTTAGTTACGTTTGCACTGCTCTTTTATTTTCACAGCTTTAATTCTATAATGCTGTAATGCTACAATATGGATCCATTTTTGTGGTTTATACTATTTAATGTTATTCGTAAGTGACCAACCTATTATAATAATTAAAGATTATTGTATTACAGGCCTGAAGATGTTCCTGTAAGGCCGAAACTAGTCGCTCCTGTATTTATTTATATTAAAATTGATTTTAAGGCTTTATTCTTTAATTGAAAAAATTAGACCTTTACAGTGATTTTGTTTTATTTCCTGCATTAGACACATATAAGACGGTATTCATTTTAAAAATAGTAAAATTAGCAAATTTTTTAGTTTTTTTTTTTAAATTAAAACGTTTGGACAATGTGTGTTTTTATAGGTAAATGATACGCCACTGAACAAGAAGGATGTTTACCTTCCCCCTTGTGCCTGCTTCCTCACTTCTTCTACAGATGTTGCTAACACAACAATCGCCTACAAACTCGTTTTCACGCTCTCTCTATTAGTAATTGCTCGGAGGACTATACTCTATTTTTAAATTAGGAGGAGCGAATTGAAAATTCCCATTTACACAAGGAAAAATAACTAAAAAAGTAACTAGATATCATTTTAGCGGTAAATTTGAATTTGTCTTGCATCATTTCAAGAAAAACATTTCAAAACTTTGTTATGAATGCTAATTTAAAAATAGAGTATAGTCCTCCGAGCAATTACTAATAAAGGGAGCGTGGAAACGAGTTTGTAGGCGAATGTTGTGTTAGAAACATCTGTAGAGGAAGTGAGGAAGCG